AGGACAACATTTTCGGCCAACCACGCCCAAGGAAGGGCCCAGGAGGCCAGGATCTATTCCCACTCCACACACGAGAGGGGAGACATAGTGCATGACACCCAAGCAGACGTGCCCTCAACCCAATGGCTTGAGGCGCAACTTGCGTTCAAAGTTTCGATGGTTCACGGGATTCTGCAATTCACACCAAGTATCGCATTTCGCTACGTTCTTCATCGATGCAAGAGCCGAGATATCCATTGCCGAGAGTCATTTTTATTAAAAGGATGCGAAGCTCACAGGCAACATAATTGAGCTCTGCAAGGTTGCACACTCATTATTATATTCCTTGGCGCTGCTGCGCCGGTGTTTTTGTTCGTCTGGGCAAATCAGAAAGACAGCACCCCGACACTCGAATCAATAATTGGTACAGGTTGGCAAGTCATTCTACCGCGAGGGTTCGACAATGATCCTTCCGCAGGTTCACCTACGGAAACCTTGTTACGACTTCTCCTTCCTCTAAATGATAAGGTTCAATGGACTTCTCGCAACGTCACGGGCAGCAAACCGCCCACATCACCACGATCCGAACACTTCACCGGATCATTCAATCGGTAGGAGCGACGGGCGGTGTGTACAAAGGGCAGGGACGTAGTCAACGCGAGCTGATGACTCACGCTTACTAGGAATTCCTCGTTGAAGACCAACAATTGCAATGATCTATCCCCATCACGATGAAATTTCAAAGATTACCCGAACCTATCGGCCAAGGCTATACGCTCATTGAATACATCAGTGTAGCGCGCGTGCGGCCCAGAACATCTAAGGGCATCACAGACCTGTTATTGCCTCAAACTTCCGCGGCCTTAGAGGCCGTAGTCCCTCTAAGAAGCTGGCCACGAAGGGATACCTTCGCATAGCTAGTTAGCAGGCTGAGGTCTCGTTCGTTAACGGAATTAACCAGACAAATCGCTCCACCAACTAAGAACGGCCATGCACCACCACCCATAGAATCTTGAAAGAGCTCTCAATGGGCGGACAGAGTTTCTCTCTCTGGCGATCGCGATGAACAGTAACCGCGCACCAGTTCCGTCCATTTTCCGGCGTGCTCTCTTGGATTTCTCCACCTTTGGTTGCAGATCGGTCTTCTACACTCCAAGGCGAGCCTATCCATCCTGAATTCCAGCGGCGTTGTTCAAGATTTGGGAGTCAACGAACTAGCTAGGGTTCGCGACACTGTTCATCTCCTTCGACAACAAGCTTCCTGATGGACTTCTGGTAAGTGCGGCTGGTCCTTCCTTTGTTTTGAGCTATTCTCAGATGGCGAAGGGCAAGAAGAAGGATCGTAGACCTCCACCTCCCACTCCTCCAAACAAGAAAGAGTTGCGTAACTTTCTTCGTTATATGGAGGGTGTGTCTGGGGCTGGAGGGGAGTCTGTGGAGTGTTCTGATGCTGTGGATAACTATCCGGTCATGACTGAGGAGGATTTCCATCCTTGCTCTAAACCTTGTGAGGTCATGGTTGAAGACGATGATGGTTCTGATTTCCAAAGCCCTTCTCTTGATGAGGAGAGGATTGAGCAGGATTTGCTGAAGGATAAGAGTGATGGCAACAAGGGAGATGCTCCAGTAGCTAATCCAGCCAATGCTGAAGCTCCTGAAACTGCTGAATCTATTGGGAAGGAGAACTGTGAAAAGGAAGACAATGGGAAAAACAGTGGAAATGAGATTGGGAAGACTGATGGCAATACTCCTGGTAATAAAGCTGATATACCTAAAGAGAAAAAGACCTTTGCATCACTGTTTGAGAAAAACAGATCAGAGGATTAAGGAATGAAGCTTCATCAGGTGGACATGGCTGAAGATGAGGAGGTCTTTATTCAGCTAGAAGATGTTACACCAATGGAGGAGCTTTGGGGACCATGCTTGGTTGGGTGTTTCACTGGCAGATTCCCTGGCCTTGCCCCCATTCAATCCTTGGTGGAATCTTGGAAAGTGCCCTGCCAATTCTTGCCCCATCATAAGGGCTGGGTGATCTTCAAATTCCTCTCCAATGAGGACAGGGACTCAGTGCTACATATGGATGACCATAGAATAAGCAACAAAAAGTTGCTCCTCAACATACCCCAGGATGGGTTTATGTGGAATGCAAAATCATTTTCCACCATGCCAGTTTGGGTCAAGCTTATGGATGTGCCAATGCAATTCTGGGGCCATAATTCTTTGTCCAAAATAGCCTCAAAACTGGGAAGACCACTCTTTACTGATGGCCTAACCAACAAAGTGGCATCCAAATTCACCTTGGAGGAGGACCCTGATGACAATTTGGCTTACAAGAAACCAAACTTTTGTAGGGTGCTCATTCACATGGACTTATCCAAACCCCTTCCCTCCTCTGTGAAGGTCAACTTTGTGGGAGGCAGCTATATACAACATGTAGAATATGAAGACCTGCCTCTTTACTGCTATCATTGTGAGAAGTTTGGACACACACCCTTTGACTGCCTTGATCTCCATGAGATTCAGAGAAAGGAAACTGCTGAAGAACAAATAGCTTTGGACAAGGCTAGAGTTGAGGTTTTGAAAACTTCCCTCTTGGTTGACAACGACAAGGAGAAGGAGAAGGCCAAACAGAATCAAAAAGGCAAACAGGTTTTAGAAGGAACTAAAGGTGGTGAGAAACCTGCTGACCCCAATGAACCCTCACCCTCCTTCTCCAAAAAGGATGATCATGATGGCTTCACACTTGTGGAAAAAGGAAGGGGATCCCTTACTACACATCCTCTTAAGGAAGCAAACTTCAACAATGGCAACAAACAACCACAGCTCAGAAGGGAAACTAGAAGCAGTGGACGTGGACACAACCATGGTAACAGGGGGGTACATAAAGAGGTAGGGGAAGGGGCCCTGGCCCTAACTCTTGATGAAGATACTCTGCTGGAACTTTAGGGGGCTTAATAGGCCCTCTAAACAAAACTTTTTGTGTAAATATATTTTGGATCTTGGTGTGCACATGAGCTGTATTTTGGAAACCAAAATGTCAGAAGCCATGTTTAAGCTTTTTCTCCATAACAAACTCCCTTCTTGGTCTTCAACTGATAATTTTGCTATGATTAATGATGGGAGAATGGCTGTTATATGGAACCCACTTTTTGTTACTTGTACTGTGCTGGATGTTGGTGATCAATTCATCCATTGCAGAATTTTGTGTAATGTTTCCTAGAAATGCTTCCACATTACATTTGTTTTTGCTCTATACAATGTAACTGTTAGAAGACAACTATGGGAAACAATTTCTGATTTTGCTGTGAATATAAAGACCCCCTGGGCCATCATGGGGGATTTTAACTCAGTTCTGAACTCCAGTGAGAGATTAAACTGCCACACCTATGCTTATGATATGACTGATCTGCTGCACTTTAGGCTCAATAATGATTTGATTGATGCCAAGGCCACTGGTACTCACTTCACTTGGAACAGAGGGAACAAATGGGCCAAATTGGATAGGGTGATGGTGAACTGTGAATGGGATGCTCTACATTGGGATTGTTGGGCTGAATTTAAGCCCATGGAGTTCCAATCTGACCACTGTCCTGTTCTGCTCCACCTCATCCAATCATCCACCAAAGGCCCTAAACCCTTCAAATTCTTCAACATGTGGCTTAAACATGACTCTTTTGATAATACTTTGAAGCATGTATGGGATATGAGGTTTAATGGTACTAGACAGTTTAGACTATGCAGAAAATTGAAGATGCTGAAGCATCCTCTCAAACAGTTGAACAACAAGGATTTTGCACATATCTCTTCCAGGGCTGAGGAGGCTAGAAAGTCCTACAATGACCTCATGGATAAGGTGTACAAGGACCCTGATAACTTGGAGCTACTCCAGCTTGTTGCCAATACCAGGAAGAAAGCCTCTTTCTACTCTGATGCAGAAAGATCCTTTTTCCAACAAAAGGTGAAGTGTAACTTTATTAATGAAGGGGACAAATGCACAAAATTCTTCCATGCAACGGTAAAGAAGCAAAGTGTGTTGAATGCCATCCCTGTTTTGATTACATCCCAAGGAACAACTACTACTTCTCTGGAGGCTATTGTTGAGGAATTCATTGGCTACTATAATCAGATTTTTGGTAATACAGTCCCTACTTCCCCGGTGGATTGGAATGTCTTTAAAGAGGGGCCCATCATCCAACACCAGGATGCCATTGACTTGGTCAGGAATGTGGATAGAGCTGAAGTCAGAGAAGCCCTTTTCAGCATTGGTGATGATAAGGCCCCAGGACCTGATGGTTATACAGCTGCCTTCTTCAAGAAGAAATGGGACATTGTTGGTGATACTGTGTTTGATGCTGTTTCTGAATTCTTTTTGAGTGGGAGACTCCTTAAGCAGATTAATCATGCCTTGGTTGTCCTCATTCCTAAGGTCAGGGAGAACCCTAGTGCCAAAGATTATAGACCTATAGCCTGCTCCAATGTGGTCTATAAAATAATCACTAAAATCCTCTCCAACAGAATGGCTGGACTACTTTCTAGCCTCATTAACCCTGCCCAGGCTGCTTTCATTAAGGGCAGGAGCATTGTGGACAATATCCTTCTGGTACAACATCTGGTTAGGGGGTATGCTAGAAAGAGATCACCTCCTTGTTGTATGCTAAAGCTGGACATCTCAAAAGCTTATGACACAATCTCTTGGGACTTTTTGAGGGACACACTTCAGGGACTTGGCTTCCCCCCCATTTTTGTGAAATGGATCATGGAGTGTGTCACCACTGCATCCTTCTCTCTCTCTATTAATGGAGGCTTGCATGGCTTCATTAAATGCAAAAGAGGGATTAGACAGGGTGACCCCATGGCCCCAACATTATTCCTTTTCTGTATGGAATACCTCTCAAGGCTGATTAGGAGAATGCTATATGGAAGCAGATTCACCTTCCATAACAGGTGCTCTAAACTGGGTATTACTCATGTTACTTTTGCTGATGATGTGATGATGTTTTGCAGGGGAAATGTGGATTCTGTCAATGTGTTGGCTAAGGCTATCAATATTTTCTCCCAAGTATCTGGCTTGCATGTTAACCCTCTCAAATCTAATATCTTTCTGGCTGGAGAGATAAAAGACAGAAAAGAGGATATCCTAGCTATGGTGCCCTTCCCTCAGGGTAAACTGCCTGTTAGATGCCTGGGACTCCCTCTGACCTCACAGAGAGCTTCTGAAAGAGACTTTGCCCCACTTGTGAACAAGGTGGATGAACATATCAGAAAATGGAACACCAAAACCCTGTCTGCTGCAGGAAGATTGGAACTCATCAGATCTGTTATCCAAGGTATTGAAGGATTCTGGTTCCAAGCTTTCCCTATTCATAAATCTGTCTTGGATAGAATAACCTCCCTTTGTAGAACTTTCCTTTGGGGGAGTAAGTTCTGTAAGGTTGCTTGGGAGGATATCTGCAAGCCCAAGGATGAAGGGGGGCTTGGTTTGAATCAGCCCATAATCTGGAATCAGGCAATTTTGAGCAAGAACCTGTGGAATATTGCCTCTAACAAGGAAACCCTGTGGGTGCAATGGGTTCATTCTGTTTATCTTGATGGTAATGACTTTTGGACTTGGAGTCCTGGGAAGAAGGACTCCCACTTTTTCAAGAAGCTGACTGAAATCAGAGACATGCTAATACTCAAGTGTGGGAACAGATGGGAACTTGAAAATCAACTCTGTAATCTGGGTGAAATATCTGCTACCAAAGTTTATGATATACTTAGAACCAGGGGTGAAATGAGACCCTGGATGAAGGCTATTTGGAAATCCTACATCCCACCCAGATATTCATTCTGTGCTTGGTTGATCTTCCGTAAGAGAATTCCTACCAAAACCAGCCTTCACTTCATTGATATGGAGAATAGATTATGTGAGCTCTGCCACAAGGAGGAGGAAACTGGTCAGCACCTCTTTTTCAGCTGTGAAACCTCCACACTCATATGGAATGCTATCAGATCATGGCTTGAGATTGGCCCTACCCTGTCTACCCTGGATAGAGCCCTTACTTGGTTAAGGAGACTGAGGAGCAACCATTGCTCTAGGAGGAAGATGATAAGGCTGGCTATTCTTAGCACAGCCTACCACATTTGGAGATTGAGGAATGGTGTGTACTTTGACAACCAGGCCATTAATATTGATGGTATTGTGTGCAAGATCAAGGTGGGGGTCTTCAAAGTAATGAACAGATTATATCCCAATGGTGTTTAAGACCTCCCCCACCCTTTGGATATCTCTGATTGGATTCCCTGGATGTTACTTGTGATTCCTGCGCTGACCCTACCCCTCCTTGTTGAGGATTGGTTGGGATTTTCACTGTGGTTGTTTGCTGGACATTTGATTAACACTGGGGACCTTTGGGTAACTGGTGTTATCCCTATGCCCAATTTCTTTGGGGCTGGAAACATTTCAAATGTTAGAAACCCTCCTAGGAGGATCTCTAACCCTTGTTATGGGTCCTTGGGGGGTGCTTTTTGGTGGGAAACAAACCAGGCTACGTAATCCCCTTCTGGAATTGTAGAGACTGGCTTGGGTCTAGGGTTCTTCACTCTCTCCCTTCTTCNTTCTATTCTAGGAGGCAAGTTAAATAATATGTGCCAAATCACTCCTTGGATTTGATACCTGTTAGTTTAACTTGTCTCCTCCCTTGGGTGGTTGGGCTCCTGATAGCTTGGGTGCTATTGGGGCATGGAAACAAACCATACCCTATCTACCCCTTCTGGATAGGTAGGGAATGGATTGGATCCAGGGCTGGAGGGTGCTTTTACCCTTTATTCTTTTCTTTTCTTTCTATCCCCTCTCTCCCCTTCTTCCTTCTTTCTGTTTCTCCCTCCTTCTTGGTCTTCCTCTTCTTCTCTCCTTTCTTCTGAGTCTGGAAACACACTAAGCTTCACTCATTTAAACCCTCTTTGTTTTGATGTTTGAAGGTTGGTGTGTCTTCCCTTTGGTGCTGGTTGGGTGGGTGGGGCCCCACTGGTTTTGTGGACTGGTGGGGTTGTGAGGAAACAAACCAACCTCTATTAACCCCTTCTGGATAGATAGAGATTGATTTGGGTCCTGGCTTGTTGGTGTTCAACACCTCTCCTTTCCTTGTCCATCCCTCTTTCCCCTTCTTCTTTCTCTTGCTTCTCCCTCCTCCTTTGCTTCTCTATCTTTTCCTTTTCCTCCTTCTTCTATCTCTGGGAACACACCTGGATGCACTCACTTATACCCCTCTTTTGGTTGAGTATTTGCAAACTGGTGTGCACCCCCTACCTTTTATGGTTCAACTTGGATTCATCTTGGATGCTGTGTGGATGACATGGATAATCTTTCTGGCTTTGTTTTGTGAACTCTCTCATCAGGGTAGAGCACTATCACCTTATGCCTGAGCACTCCATCCTAGCTCATTTGTGTGAGACAGGTTTTGACTTGGTATTACTTGGTGCAAATGGTCCATTGGTGCTTCTAAACTCCTGATGGATTTGGTCCTGCTATTACTGGGCTTTGAGCCTTCAACCAGAGTTGGAGTACCTGCTGATCTCGTAACAGATTTCAGCCTTGGATACTTCACTGGCCCATCTTCTAATCTACTACCTAGATAGCTGTACTTGGATGTGTGATGCTGTGATGCTGTGTGCTTTGTCTTATGCTTGCATTGAGGTTAGGGCCTGATGTTTTAAGCTGTGAACTCGCCCAGGTTGTGCAAGCAGAATGGACATGGATCTGTGATGCTGTGTTGCTGTGTGTTTTTGACCTTATGCCTATACTGTGATTAGGGCCTGATGCTTCATGCCTAATTGCGGGAAGCTATTAACTCGCCCAGGTCTTTTGCAAGTGGAATGGAATGAACTTTGCCTTGTCATTGCACTTATTCTTGTTGGTGTACACTTGTCTCAGATTCTATTTGATGTAATGGAGTTGGTTGTCTCGTGTTAAGACAACCTCCCATTCTTGGTTTTCGTTAGATTGCATTTCCTTGTGTTAGTGTTTTGGTTTCGTTGTATTACAAGTGAGTTGTAATTTCTTTGTAGATAGTTATAACTTAAGCAAGTAACCACGTTGTGGTTAAGCTGTTGACACTTTGTATTTGTATTCGTTTGATTTGGGTAATAATAATTTACATGTTACCCATTGAAAGAGCTCTCAATGAAAGAGCTCTCAAAAAGTTCGGACAGATTTCGCTCTGAGGCGATCGGCATGAACAGTGTCCGGTTGTCTTCTCCGTTCATTTTCGCGGCGCTGGTGATGGTGTAACTCCCGTTTGGTTTCAGATTCTTCATCTCCTTGGTCTGGCGAGCTTCTCCATTGGTGGAATCCCTGGTTTCCATCATCTCCCGAAGTCAACGCAAGCTAGGGTTGGAGATTTACTGTTCATCTTCTACGCACTCTTCTTCGATGAATTCCAGGTAAGTGTGGCTTGTCTCTCTTTGTCTCTTGCCATGGGGAAGAAGCCTAAGAAGACGACGAATACCCCTGCACATTCTCCTCCTCCTGCTACGAGGAAGAAGAAGAAGAGTACCAAACTTGTTGTAGATGATGAATTGGATGTTGTGAACACTGTGGATGCTGGGGAGGAATCGTCTGATGAGGAAAAGGGTGAACCTTCGGTTCAGTCCTCTTTTGATACCTCAATTGATGAAGAGGAAGTTGCTAGGGCTCTCCAAATCTCACTGGAGCAGAACCTGGAAGCCATCCTAACTGATGATGTTGACAATGTCACTGCCAATGAACAACCTTTGAATAAGGAAACACCTACTGAGAATGTTTCTGATACACCTCTGGAACAACCCACCTGCAATGAGGAGAAAGAGAAGGAAAAAGAACCCCCTGATGCTGGCAAGAGTAGAGATAAACTGAATGAAGATAAAGTGGATAAGCCGATTGATGGAAAGAAATCTTTTGCCTCCTTTTTCAAGAAAAACAGGGCTGAAGATAAAGGAATGAAGCTTCACAAGGTAGTTGCTCCTAAATGCTTTATACCTGAAGAAGACATGCTGACTGTGGAAGAAATTTGGGGACCTTGTCTGGTGGGTTGCTTCACTGGCAGATTCCCTGGGCTGTTAGCTATTCAAAAACTGGTTGACAGTTGGGGAGTCAAGTGTAAGTTTCTGCCTCACCACCAAGGATGGGTTGTCTTCAAATTCCTTACCAATGAAGATAGGGATTCTGCACTCTTACTTGCCAAGAAGGAAATCAATAATAAGAAATTGCTTATTAACATCCCTCCTGATGACTTTATGTGGGATGTTAAGTCCTTTTCAACCATGCCTGTTTGGGTTAAGCTTTGGAATGTTCCCATGAGGTTCTGGTCCTCAAATGCTCTATCTCACATAGGGTCTCAACTGGGCACACCCATGTACACGGATGGCCTCACTCACACAGTGGCTTCCAAGTTGAGTGCTGAAGATCAGGAAGAGAATGATGAGCTTAAATATCAGAAGCCCAACTACTGCAGAATGTTGATAAACATGGACCTATCCCTTACACCTCCCACTTCTGTTGAGGTGGATTTTGTTGGGGGTAGCTATGTTCAAAAGGTGGAGTATGAGGACATGCCACAATACTGCTATCACTGTAAGTGTTTTGGCCATGACCCCTTTAACTGCTCAGTTCTTCATGATATCAACAAGAGGAGATTCCATGAAGAACAAAAAGCAAAAGAAAGGGCTAGGGTTGAAACCCTCAAAACCATAATGCTTACAGAAGCACAAGCAACAACTAGAAAGCAACACCAACCACAAAAGGGAAAGAATAATGGGAGAGATGATGTGAACAACACTTTGGAAAACAAAGGGAAGGGAAAGGATACCTCTGATGGTGTGGCCCAAAACCCAAATGATCCTGGCCCATCCTTCACTACCCACACTGAGGGTGATGGCTTCACACAAGTAGGAGGTGGCAAGGGCAAACTTACCACACACCCTATCAGGGATGGAAAACTGAAAACTGGATACAACAAAGGGGGAGGCCAGACTGGAGGATACCGAGGTGGGGTTAACAGAGGAAGGGGAAGGGGCTATGGCCCTTACCGTTGATGAAGATACTGTGTTGGAATATTAGAGGCCTTGGCAGGGCCTCTAAGCAAGCTTTTTTGTGTAAATACATCTATGATCTTGGTATTAAAATGTTTTGCATTTTGGAAACCAAGATGAGTGACGCCAAACTCAACCTTTTTGCTAGTAATAAACTCCCATCATGGCACTTTAAACATAATTTTGAGCATATTGAGGATGGGAGAATGGCAATTTTTTGGAACCCAATTTTTGTAGAATGTACTGTTTTGGCTACTACTGATCAATGTATGCACTGCAAGGTCAAATGTCTTATTTCTCAGAAGTGCTTTTTCATCTCTTTTATCTATGCATTGTATTGTGTGACTGCTAGAAGAACTCTCTGGGACTTTCTTACTGGTATGGCTGATAACCTAAATGACCCTTGGGCTATCATGGGAGATTTCAACTCAGTTATTAGCTCCAATGAAAGAGTCAATTGCCAGAGTCAAAGTGCTTACTTCATGAGTGATTTGAGACATTTCAGACTGCATAATGACCTGACAGATGCTAATTCTACTGGGTTGGATTTCACTTGGAATAAAGGTGATAAGTGGGCTAAGTTAGACAGGGTACTTGTGAACTATGATTGGGATAAGTTGGATTGGGAATGCTGGGCTGAATTCAGAGATATGGAGATAGTGTCTGATCACTGCCCTGTTTTGTTGAAACTACTACCTACCCATACCCATGGAACCAAATCCTTTAAATTCTACAATATGTGGACCAACCATGATGATTTTGATAGAGTGGTCAGACAGATTTGGGACCAGAGAATTGTTGGAACTAGGCAGTACAGACTTTGCACTAAGCTCAAGAAACTCAAGTACCCTTTGAAGCAGCTGAATAGACATGAGTTTGGACATATATCTCAGAAAGCTGAGGATGCCAGGAAGATGTACAGCACCCACATGAAGATGCTTATTCTGGACCCCAGCAATCCAGCTTTGATCAAAGAAAGTGATATCCTGAGGAAGAAGGCTAACTTTTACTTGGATGCAGAGAGATCCTTCTTCCAGCAGAAAACCAAGCGTGACTTGGTCACTGAAGGGGATAAATGCACCAAATTTTTTCATAATCTCATGAAGAAGAGGAATACTAATAATGCCATTCCCTTCCTTATCCTTGAGGATGACAGAGTGACCACTTGTCAGGAGGAAATTGCAAGTGAATTCATCCAGTACTTCACTCAGCTTTTTGGAAGAACTGTCCCTACTCAAGGTGTTGACTGGGATGTATATCAAGAAGGCCCCACAATTTCACAATCTGATTGTACAAGCTTGACAAAGAAGGTTGATATTGCTGAGGTTAAAGAGGCCTTGTTCTCCATTGGCAACAATAAATCTCCAGGACCGGATGGGTTCACATCAGCTTTCTTTAAAGAAAAGTGGGATCTTGTTAGCCATACCTTATATGATGCTGTATCTGAATTTTTCATTAGTGGCAGACTTTTAAAGCAAATCAATCATGCTACTGTGGCTCTCATTCCTAAAGTCAGAGTTAACCCTAGGGTTAAGGACTTCAGGCCCAAAGCATGCTCCAATGTTGTCTACAAGATTATTACTAAAATCCTGTCTAACAGAATGAGCTCCATTCTACCAGGGTTGATTGATCATGCACAGGCAGCTTTTGTGGGGGGAAGGAATCTGGTAGACAATGTACTTTTGGCCCAACACCTTGTTAGAGGTTATGCCAGAAAGAGAAATCCCCCTAATTGTATGCTCAAAGTGGATATTACTAAAGCTTATGATACTATTGCTTGGCCTTTTCTGGAGAATGCTTTGACTGGTCTGGGTTTCCCTAGGAGATTTATCAAATGGATTATGGAGTGTGTTACCTCTGCTTCTTTTTCACTCTCCATAAATGGATCTCTACATGGCTTCATCAAATGCCAAAGGGGGATAAGACAGGGGGACCCCATGGCTCCTACCTTGTTCTTATTTTGTATGGAGTATCTGTCCAGACTTCTCAAGAAAATGACTAAAGAAAGGAAATTCAGTTTCCATTCTAAGTGCTCCAAATTGAGGATCAGCCATATTGCATTTGCAGATGATGTTATGCTTTTCTCTAGAGGTGATTTGCCCTCTGTCCAGGTTCTTGCTGAAGCCCTCAAACACTTTGCAGCAGTCTCTGGATTGCATGTCAATGAACATAAATCCAATATCTACCTGGTGGGTAAGATTAAGGATAACAAACAGGACATCCTTAACCTTGTTAACTTTTTAGAAGGCCATCTACCTGTGAAGTATTTGGGTTTGCCTCTTACCTCTCAAAGGGCTTCTGAGAGAGATTTTGCTCCTCTTGTTGAAATGATTGATGATAATATTAAAAGGTGGAACACTAAGACCCTGTCCATGGCAGGAAGAGCTGAACTCATCAGAACTGTGATCCAAGGTATTGAAGGCTTCTGGCAACAAGCCTTTCCCATTCACAAGATTGTGCTCAACAGAATCACCACACTATGTAGGTCCTTCCTTTGGGGCAGCAAATTCTTCAAGGTGGCATGGGATGATATTTGCAAGCCTAAGGAGGAAGGGGGCCTTGGTTTGAGAAATTCTGGTTACTGGAATCAAGCTCTTATGGCCAAAACTCTGTGGAACATTGCATCTAGAAAGGAGACCCTTTGGGTGCAATGGGTCCATGCAGTCTACTTGCAGGAGAGGGACATCTGGACCTGGATCCCTAAAAAAGAGGACTCACACTTTTTCAAAAAGCTGGCTGAAATCAGAGATATCCTCCTCTTAAAAATTGGGCCAGACATCACACATCAGAATGGTATGGACATGATCATGGTTGATGGGAGTGTTTGTACCTCTAAGGTTTATGACCTCATCAGAACTCATGGATCAAAGAAGGCTTCCATGAGGGTCATCTGGCAGAGTTACATTCCTCCCAGATTCTCCTTCACTACTTGGCTTGCTTTAAGGAAGAGATTGCCTACCAAAGTCATGCTTAGCTTCATACATATGGACAGCAGACAGTGTAGCCTCTGTGGTGAGGAGTTGGAAACAACTAATCATTTGTTCTTTGCTTGTGTGGTCTCAAATGACATATGGAAAGGAATAAGGGATTGGCTGAATATTCCCAATGAACTGTCAACTATTGAAAGAGCCATTAAATGGCTTTTGAGAAGGCATGGAGTTCATGGAAACAGAAGGAGCATGTGGAGATTGGCTACTTTGAGTACCATCCACCACATTTGGAAGATGAGAAACCAAATCTATTTTGACAATCAAGGGATCAACTATCTTGCTGTGATTAGGAAGATCAAAGTGGGAGTGTATAAAATCATGTACAGATTGTACCCTCACTCCACTTTTGCACTGTAAGTGATTCTGCACTTTTTTGCTGCCCTGATGGTTTTCCAACTCCTTTGAGGTGGTACCTGTGGGGTGGTTGGGGACATCTAGGTGGTACAGATGACATCCCACAGATGCCTGGTGGATCCTAAGGGTGTTATCTAGGCCTACCTGATGGTTTAAATGTTTTTCTGGCCCCATCTTTAAAACCTAGGTCATGATTCCTGCTAGGAGTTATGGCCTTACATTTTTTCTGGTGGGTGATTGGAAGGAAACAATGCTGGGGCCAATAATGACCTTCTTGGAAGTTATTAAAACCTGTATTGGGTCCTGGTTAGGGGTTGGAGGGAGTAAGTCTAGGGGTAAACATTGGTTGCCCCTAGAAATACTACCTCACTGGTGGCATTTCTGGTTGTGGGGAACAAGGAACACCCTAAGAATGCCTTGGTGGATCCTTAGGGAGTCACTTGGGCCTTGGATCTTTTGGCATACTTGGCTGTGATTTGGTCTCACCTAGGCCTTAATCTGGGATTATTGGTCTAGGATTTCTTGGTGGTTGGCAGTTTGGAAACAAGATTAATGCTGATAAATTGCCCATGGGTAAATTATCAACAAAAATTTTGGGTCGTGGAAAGGGGTTGGAGGGAGTAAATTCTTGAGTAAATCTTGATTACCCATGAAGATATTCCCTCATTGGTGGTCTCTGACTTCTTGGGAACAGGAAACACCCAAAGGTTGCCTTGATGGATCCATAGGGAGTTACCTGGGCCTAATTTTTCTCCTTCAAACTTAGACCTGTTTTGGTCTTTGATTTTTTGGTGGGTGGGTGGACCCTGGTGGTTTGCCACTGGGGTGGTGGAAATGAACCATACTTTGTGTACCCCTTTTGGATACATAAAGTGTGGCTCAGGTCCTGGTTGGGGTGGTCACACCCTCTTCTTCTTTCTCTCCCTCTTTCCCCTTCTTTCTTTTTCTCTTCTTCCACTCTTTCTTGGTTCTCTTTACCTTTACTTGCTCAGATTCTGGAACTTAACCTCTTTACACATTCCTCTCTTTTCTTTGAAAGGATGTGTTTTAAAAAGGTTGGGTTCCCCCCCTCGCTACTGTTTTGTCTTCCTCTGTTGGACTTATTTGACACTTGTCTGATCTTGAGAGCTGGAGACCTGTTCCACCTTACCCCAGCTCTCCTCTGCTGAATGTTAGCTTGATCTGATCTTTGTGACCAGTCACTCTCTTCCTGGGGCTATCTCACCTTATTTGCATAAGGGAGAATGTGATCTTGTACCTTGTGGAACTGGGAAACTGATCTCAACAGTTTGGAAATGGAGCTCAATGTTATGCTTGAGGAATGGAGCTTGTTTGATGACCCTCCACTGGAATTGGAACCTGTTTACTTAACTACCTGTTTGCAGAAGATAGGCCTTGGAACCTTCTTGCTTTTGATGTATTGGCATCCCTGTGTAGAAGAGTTTTTACTCTTTGAAGGGATATGGGCATACTTGTCTGCAATGGGTGTCCTGGCCTTGACGTTTTGGATTCCCTGTGTTGTAGAAGAGCTGTTATACACTCTTTGAAGGGATTTGGGCATATGTGTTCACAATGGGCGTTGCTATGGCTTCATTGGAGCACTTGCAAACCTTATGCTACTTATTTTGATTGTTTTGGCCTCCCTGTGTTGTAGAAGAACTGTTAACCTCTTCGAAGGGACTCTAATTAGGCCTTGTTTTGTAATTGTTGTAACGATGTATTGTGTTGTAATTGCTCTTGTAGATACGGTGTACTTGTAACTGTCTTAAATATGCGTGTAACCATGTTGATGGTTAAGCATATGACATTGATGTACCTTTTCTGATTTGGGTAATAATAATTTACATGTTACCCTTGAAAGAGCTCTCAATGAAAATAAAGTGGATAAGCCTGCTGATGCAAAGAAATCTTTTGCTTCCTTTTTTTAAGAAAAATAGGGCTGAAGATAAGGGAATGAAGCTTCACAAGGTCGTTGCTCCTAAATGCTTCATACCTGAAGAAGACATGCTGACTGTGGAAGAAATTTGGGGACCTTGCCTGGTGGGTTGCTTCACTGGTAGATTCCCTGGGCTGGTAGCCATCCAAAAACTGGTTGATAGTTGGGGAGTCAAGTGCAAGTTCCTGCCTCATCACCAAGGATGGGTTGTCTTCAAATTCCTTACTAATGAGGATAGGGATTCTGCTCTCTTACATGCCAAGAAGGAACTCAATAATAAGAAATTGCTCATTAACATCCCTCCTGATGACTTTATGTGGGATGTTATGTCCTTTTCAACCATGCCTGTTTGGGTTAAACTGTGGAATGTTCCCATGAGGTTCTGGTCCTCAAATGCCCTATCACACATAGGGTCTCAACTTGGCACTCCCCTGTACACTGATGGCCTCACTCACACAGTGGCTTCCAAGTTGAGTGCTGAGGATCAGGAAGAGAATGATGAGCTTAAGTATCAGAAGCCCAATTACTGCAGAATGTTGATAAACATGGACCTATCCCTTACACCTCCCACTTCTGAACTCCACCTAAAACAACCCCCATCGATACAAGTTTTCCAACTCATACTCCTGTACGGAGTTATGACGATAGTGACATTCACAAAACCCGTACTGGGGAAATTGACGAGTCAAGAAGTACTCTAATTATTCTCTTTTAAGTTACTTCTTGTTTTTCGTTCTCTCACCCGATCCCAACTTTGGGAGTTTTGGTATTACGATACAGAAGCACAACAACAACCACAGAAGGGGAAGGAAAATGGGAAAGATGAAGTGAACAACACTGCTGAAAACAAAGGAAAAGGAAAAGATAGCTCAAGTGGTGTGGCCCAAAACCCAAATGATCCTGGCCCATCCTTCACTGCCCATATTGAGGATGATGGCTTCACACAAGTAGGAGGGGGCAAGGGCAAACTTACAACACACCCTATCAGGGATGGAAAGCAGAAAACTGGATACAACAAAGGGGGAGGTCAGACTGGAGGATACAGAGGTGGGGCAAACAGAGGAAGGGGAAGGGGCTATGGCCCTTACCGTTGATGAAGGTACTTTGTTGGAATATTAGAGGCCTTGGCAAGGCCTCTAAGCAAAACTTTTTGTGTAAATACCTTTTTGACCTTGATGTCAACTTATTTTGTGCTTTAGAAACAAAAATGAATACTGCCAAACTCAACCTTTTTGCTAAAAACAAAATCCCATCATGGAGCTTTTCACATAATTTTGATCTTATTGATGATGGGAGAATGGCAGTTTTTTGGAATCCTTCATTTGTGGAGTGCACTATTATTCATGTCACTGACCAACTTATGCATTGTAAGATCAAGTGCCTCATTTCTCAAAGGAGTTTTTATGTTTCTTTTGTTTATGCCCTCTACTGTGTTACTGCCAGAAGGGGGTTGTGGGATTTTTTGACTAACATTGCAGGTGATCTCAGTAGCCCTTGGGTTGTCATGGGGGATTTCAATGCAGTTATCAGCTCCACTATAAGAGTGAACTGCCAAACCCAGAGTGCCTACTACATGACAGATCTCAGGCAGTTCAGAATCAACAATGCCCTTAATGATGCTAACTCATCAGGGCTGGAATTTACTTGGAACAAAGGTGAAAAATGGGCCAAACTTGACAGAGTTCTGATCAATGATGAATGGGAAAATCTGCAATGGGATTGCTGGGCTGAATTTAGAGACATGGAGGCAATCTCTGACCACTGCCCAGTGTTGCTGAAACTTATGAATATCCAAAACCAGAGCACCAGGCCTTTTAAGTTTTACAACATGTGGCTCAAGCATGATAATTTTGATATGGTGGTGAGGGAGAATTGGAACCAATGGGTCAATGGAACAAGGCAGTACAGATTATGTGTCAAACTCAAAAAACTGAAACAACCTTTGAGGCTTCTAAATAAACAACATTTTGGCCATATTTCTCAAAGAGCTGAATCTGCCAGAAAGGAGTACAACCATCTCATGCAGGAGCTAATCCTGGAACCTGACAACCCTTCCCTTTTGTCCAAAAGTGTTGAACTCAGAAACAAAGCCAGTTTCTTCATGGATGCTGAAAGATCTTTCTTCCAACAGAAGACTAAGTGTGAACTGCTCTTTGAGGGGGACAAATGCACCAAATTTTTCCATGCCCTGATGAGGAAAAAGAATCATAGTAGTGCCATCCCCTTCATTCTTACAAATGATCAGAGAATCACCTCCAGTTTGGAGGAGGTTGAAAAGGAATTTATTGAGTACTTTACCAATCTCTTTGGAACCACTGTCCCCATTGAACCTGTTGAATCGAATGTTTTTGAAGAGGGCCCTCTCATCCCCAACCATGCAGCTAACAACCTCATCAGAAAGGTGACTATTGAAGAGGTTAGGGATGCACTTTTTTCTATTGGGAATAATAAATCCCCTGGTCATGATGGGTACACCTCTGCCTTTTTCAAGGAAAAGTGGGATATTGTTGGAAATAATCTGTATGAAGCAGTGTCTGAATTCTTTA